GACCCTCCTGCAGGCCTCTCTGGGGCTCTGTGGGAGGGAGGTAAGGCTCAGGAAGGAAGGGAGGGCTGGTGAAAGGAAGTATGCATGGAGAAAAGAGCAGGAGATGGGGAAAAACCGGTTCTTGCAGGGGGGGGGGGGGCAGGGAAAATTAAAAAAAGTGCGAACCGATGACGGCAAGCAACTTTATAATAGTAGATATTGTGGTGTATACGCGTTCCGCAAAACAGCATGTGACTCACTTGGAGGATATTTTCAATCGCCTCAATAAGGCAGGGTTAAAGATTAAGTTCTCCAAGTGTCAGTTATTTAAGACTCAGATCAAGTATTTGGGTTTTCTTATTAGTCAGCAAGGCATCAAGGTGGATCCTGTTAAAATAGCTGCAATTAAGAATTTTCCAGTCCCAAAGAACGTTAGGGAGTTCAAGCTTTTCTTGGACTTGTAGGTTATTTTTGTTCCTATATAAAGGATTTTGCCAACAAGGCTCATCCTTTATATTCCCTTTTGAAAAAAGACGTAGAGTTTGCCTGGACAAAGGACCAGCAAACTGCTATAGACTGTCTATCAAAATGTTTAATGTCAGCTCCAATTTTTTCCGTTCCAGACTTTGAGAAGGAATTAATTTTAACGACAGATGCATCTGCTTATGCGCTGGGAGCAATCCTTACGCAACAGTGAGACAAGAAAGAGGTTTTAATAGGATGCGCCTCGAGAACTCTAAATGATGCCAAGAAACAATACCCGAATACTGATCAAGAATTGCTGGCGGTATATTATGGGGTTAGTCAGTTCCATTCCTATTTATGGGGACATCCTTTTATCATCCAAACTGACCACATCGCTATCCCCTATTTAAGTCGTCAAAAGAGTAGCGACAGCAGATGCGCAATAGCATGGTTCACCATGCTCAATGAATATCAATATACGGTAGAGTACCGTAAGGGGTTGAGCATTCCTCACGCTGACGCGTTGAGTTGATTTCCCCCTGAAAAGAAATTATGCGCGTATTTGTCTCCAGCATTCAAGAGAACTGATTTGCTACCTTATATCCCCAGAGATTTGATTCAACAAGAGACTGCTGATTACAAGGATGTTCCGCTGGGAGAAAATTATCGGAGTGAAAATGGATTAATCATCAAAACAGAGAAGGGAGGACCAAAAATCTGGGTACCCCCTAAACTCAGAGAATTGATCATAGAACAATTCCATGATCCTCCAGCCATGGGGCATAGCGGAACGGACAGAACCGTTTTTGCGATTCGTCAAGAATTTACTTGGACGAACCTCGAAAAGGATGTAGCACAGTATATTCGAACTTGTACTATATGCCAGCAGAATAAAAACTATGCTCATCAAACTCCCTATTTGACCACAGGGATTCCAAAGAACTGTTTCAAGGAAGTCAGCTTAGACGTTGTGGGACCTGTTCCCAGCAGCTCTCAAGGAAATAGGTATATCCTGGTAATACATGATAGACTTTCCAGATGGATAGTCATTTTGCCCATGAGAGAGGCCTCTGCTGCAGTGACAGCAAGGTTATTCCTAAGCGATTGGGTCTGTCTCTTTGGACCTCCATGAAAAATATTGACAGATCGCGGCACAAACTTTCTGAGCAGCATATTTTGAGATATGGCTCAATTCATTGGAGCAAAAACGATTACGACAACTGCGTATTGTCCCCAGGGAAATGGGCAAAACGAGCGTGCTCACCGGGAGTTACATGGATATCTAGCTCTGTACCTCGACCCAGAAAATCGTCAAACGTGAGATGAATTATTAAAATATGCAGCATGGGTGCATAATTTGTCAAAACACGAGGCGTTACAGGCTTCTCCTTTCGAAATAGTCACTGGGCTGAGACCAAGAACATACTGGATCCCTAATTATATGGATTTAGATAAGTTCACAGACATCAAGGAGTATGATGCCCGGAAGGATCACATTGAAGCTGTAAGAAAACGCGCCTTGGAAGCCATTAGGAAAAATCAGGCTTCTTACCTAGAAAGGCTAAACACCTACAAAAAGGGCACAGTATACAGCAAGGGAGACAAGGTCTGGATACGTAGGCATGAACAAGCTACGTACGTGGGTAGAAAATGGTCCCCTAAGTACAAGGGACCTTACACTGTAATCAAAGTCATCAATCCTGTAGTAATTAGGATTCAAGATGATGCTTAACCCGATTGGACAGATGTTGTACATATTAGCTATGTCCATCCGTATCATATTAGGAAATCATCACCTGTACCCTCTCCTGTGACATCATCCAGAGAATCTGCTGAGGAAGACGACGGAGATGAAGTAGACATTCCAACGCAAAAACTACCTACTCCTCAATCTAGAAATTTGGAAGAAGATGAAGTGGAATTAGAACCCATGTCTAGTAATGTTTCAGAATCAGGAAAAACGGAACTAACAGATGTATCAGATGGAACTAATATGGATAGCTTTGTTTCCGCTCAGGATTTAATGAGTTTTGATTAAACTCTGGTTCCTTTGCCCAGTCCGAAAAAACCTGGCATTCTGAAACGCACAAAGGATTTGATATCCGACGTCACGGACGAAGTCGGTCGGTTCTTTGACCTCTCAGGGAGTAACAAGTCACTCCCTACCCTCTCCGATACGGTGATGCAGGGAGGGAGGCCGCCCGTGTTCAGCACGCCAAGGCCATTGCTAGAGCGTGACCAGCACCGGAGCCCGGACAGAGAAAGAGAACGCCAGATAGA